AAGCAAAAGTAACCTTCCTGACCACAGTTCATCGTGAGTTCAATACGATCAAGAACTTGTGATGCCTAATGAAACACTTTTTATGATAAATGATTGGTCAAACATTTTGCTTCATGATGCATATTGAGAGGTGTACAAAGAGGATGTGGGTGTGGGTGTGATTGTCAGTGTGACGTATGAGTGGAAAAAGAGGATTGATACCAACATGCACACATACACACACACACTCGTTTTGTTGTTTCGACCCATATACAAATGTGTCTCTTAGTTTTTCTGTTAACGTCATCATAGATGAGACAGAAGCTAAAAGTAACAGTTAGATATTACTAATAAGTTTTAATAATACATACGCTGTTTTATAAATTTCTAGACCCTTTGAACTTTTTACTCCATCGAATGAAGAGGATGTCATAGGAATAAAATAGGTTTGTGTATGTATGTATCTATATTTGCAGATACATGACCGTACACGTACGTGCAAACATGAAAACGCAAACACATAAATTCATGCGATTTCATACGATCTTCCTCCTGAGTCGTGGGTATAAAAAGTTCAAACGAGTCAGAAATTTATAAAACAGTGTATGTATAATCAAAACTTATTAACAATATCTAAATATTACTATTAGCGTCTTCCCTATCTACAGTGACGTCAAAAGAAAACTAAGAAACGCATTTCTACATGGGCCTAGAAAACGATGAGAGGTTTTGGATCTGGTCGGTGACTGTGGAACTTCATTCAAAACACATTGACACACATCTACATCCTAATACAAAATACGCGAAGTCTTAAATCCTTAAAGAACAGCAGTTTTTTTTCCAAAGAAAATCGACTGCCAGCACCAGCAGACGTACTCTTTTTTACCTCTACATCCCGAAAATAAATATTGTTTTGCCCTTTTTTGACACACTTTTTTTATTTGTCTTGTTGCTATTCATAAAATATTTACGTTCTTTTTTTATTTCATTTCTTTTAAAATTTATTATTACTACTTTAATTATTGGTTTAATGGAAGAATAAGCCTATTATACATATTCATTATATCAACAGCAGATCTGTACGATCTATTATGTATTTCGATAAACTCAGAAAGACTTATGAATTCTTCTCGAAAGTTAGAACTTAATCAGATCATATTGTGACGATTTTTGGATAGAAGAAGAGTTAGCGCTAATGGAATTACGCTTTATTGTATTTCTTCATATCAAGAATTGCATCATTTACATACAAAGCACACGCTTATATATGCAGCTGTCATAGAGAAGAGAGAAATATGCAATGAAAGGGTAATAAGGACAAAATAGGATAGGAACAAAGTACCACATGATCTACATAGTAAGGACAGAAAGATAAGGACAATACATAAGATCAGAAGAAATAGTACGAAGAGGACAAACATCATGCATACAATGTACTCAACCGGCAACGTTACACATATGTATATTCGGGTCAAACGACAGTTGTGAGAAATCAAAACATCATCCTTGGTATCTATCATATAATCGTTTCTCTGCACAAAAATCACAAACTGCATTATCTAGCATATTGAAAAAATGTATTTCAGCAATTTAAATTTCAAGAAAGCTTCTGGAATGTTCTAGAATCCTTTTAGCCTTGTTAGTAATACCGCTCGGCTCCTTTAATTCTAGATGTTAAGGTTTGCAATGAAAAGGTGTGGAGAGTGAGCCACAGAGCTTTGGATTAAAATTTATATTTACTATTTTCTTCAAAAATATATGTAAGTTGTACAAGTCTCAGAACGCGCCACGTCTTTTGAATTGAAAATGGCGAAAAATTTTTTTAATTACAAAATTCATTTACTTTTTGCGTATAGCATTATTTTACTATTCATATAAAAAAAGGCTTGTGTTTTTTCTTGCACTATGAGTGTCAAACGGAATACAAGAACTCACGAAAAAAAGCCTTCTAAACTCATCTCAAAATTTAATTATATTCAAATCATATTTTTCATTTTCTAGTTTATACTGTTGAAGAAAATGAGCCTGTAATCTCTATGGTACGTATAGAACACTCGTATCTGGATGTTTGAGAAATTGAGATTTTTCGTTTATCTGTTCAGAATAGTGAAAATAAGTGTAAGAGCTTTCTCATGAGTCACTACAAGATTCAAAAAGCAGGTAGTTTGGTCAAAGATTTCAATACCTCCGGCTACGATGGGTTTACCACATCACTTCGCCCTCCATTGAGTAATCGATTTGCAGTAACCGACGGCAATCGAAATGTATCGTCATCGCAATCAAATAGGTACATTTCAAATACCAATCCAGCATTTGAATCACTAACTGAAGTGAATAGCAATGTATGGGTAGCGGAAGAAGATAGAATAAATATCAATAATCAAAGCCAATCTGTAGCAGACAACGAAAAAGAATATTACAGGTAATTTCACTCTTCTTTATTCGATAGGTGTTGTTGATTTCATTTATTTTGTTTTGTAGGAAAGACATTGCTATTTATTCGTTAACAACATGCAACGCTTGTCTTATAGGTGGCCTCATTGGTTCTCTACTAGGCAGCATTGCTCTCGCGACAATTTTAACAATGTGGTTGACAGGCAAGTCAATATCATCGATAATGTTTCCTCATAACGAAGTATAGGGGCACAAACACCGACCACTGATATTTCTGGTCAGTACTAAACAACTTTGAGTGGCAATCACTTTTACAATTCGAAAGAGAGGACATCGGCATGGATGTAGAATGTGGATAGATGTCGGTCTAGGTCTGAGTCTCGATACGGAATGGGTGAATAGAAGATCACAGTAAAAGTCGCATCCACCGACACTGACATCTTACACTCGGGATTCCGGAACTTCGCCAATAAGACTTTCGCCAAATAGGACTCTCGCCAATGGCGAAGGTCCACTGTACTTTCGCCAGTACAGCCCCTGGACTTTCGCCAATTTGACTGTGAACTAGATGTGGATTCGAATATTCCTGTCGGCTATATTGATGAGTATAAGCTATGATAAATATTCTAACAACATTAGCTCCAGCTAGAGCCCTTTGTGTCTACTGTGAGCGGAACCCGACCAGATCCGAGCCTGAAAGCTTTGTAATGACTGAGTTCGTGCCCGGGTTCGGAAAATTTTACTGATCGGATCCAGATCCAAAGAAATATCTCATGTATATGATAATCTTTTTGGGATTTCTTCCAATTTTTCTCTTAAAAGATCCATCAATCGGGTTCGGATCCAGAAATTCTTGAATTCGACAGACTGTAGCTTCAGTCCTTAGATGTACCCTGTATTAATATTGTTTCGTGACAGTTGGAGAAAGTCTACTGTACTTTCGCCAACACACTCGTCAGAATTTCGCCAATTGGCGAAAGTACAGTAGAATTTCACCAATATACCCCTGGACTTTCGTCATTGGCGAATGTTCTATTGGCGAAAGTCTTATTGGCGAACTTCTGGTAACCCCTACACTCATTCACACCCATATCTATCTATACTCACATTCGCACCCACATGCATAACCGCACCCAATACGATTATAATTGTAGAGTACATAATAGAAGGAGATAAATAAATAGCTGATTACCGATAAAGAATCCTTATTCTTATAGCATTGAGCTTTTTGTATCATCATACTACCGTAATACATGTTTTTTAAAAAAGCTTACAATAATTTTCATGAAATTCTCAAGATAGCTTGCGAAGCATTCGTATGGTTTTTTTGCTAAATTGCTGTAGATTGCAATGGCAATATCATGGTATTCTCTGGGAAGACATTTATAATGACTTATTGAAACCCTCAGAATATCTGATTAACTAATACCACGAAAACTGGTACCTAGTTATTCCAATGAATAGATGAATATACTTACCTACATATGTCTTACAAACACCGATTATCCGTACAAATCAAATACGCCGAAAGTTCTTACCAAAGAAAGACCCTCTTGAAAACTTTGAATCTCACCGATGCCATGAAAATTGCTTAAAAGTCGGCTATATGATCACGATTCACAAGGTAGATTAATCATGAAAGTATATTGCCCTTAAAGGACTTAAAATGATCGTTTATTTCTAGGTTTTCATAAAAACCCAGCGTAATCTAAAATATTTTAAAAATTAATGAGTGAGTAACTGTGGTCAATTTTTCATAAAACCAGCCCTAGGAGATCCTTAAAAATCCTCTGAGAAATCTCAAGAAGAATTCATTGGAGATTTAAGAGATTTCCTTACAAACCTTGGTATGAGAATCATGGCTATCATAAACTTCGCACACGACGTCCTTCATTATTGTATTCTCATGAGCTTGTCCTAAGTGGCAAGACTGAATATTTTTTTCCTTTTCTTCGTAAATATAAAAATATAATTTTTTATTTCAACTATACCTAGTGATGAATCTATTATTGAGACTCATCAAAATAAGAAAGGTAACAATTTAGTTCTTAAAATAATATATTTCTCACGAAAATGATTATGCATTAAAATAGTTTCTCTAATAAAATGAGATGGATTTTACAAGAACTGGTAACTCAAAATGATCATGTCTGTTTTCTTATTAGTTGAAACTAATCAGACAGTAAATAATGAGTCCGAAGTTCCTATTAGATACTATGGTACGAAAATAGTGCAACTATTTTTTAAGACAAAAAACATCGAAAATTAGCTTTTCACGCGTTCAGGAACAAAAAATGTGCGAATAATGTTTATGTAGATGATTCTTAAGTCATTTTCTTTTGGAATATTGCGATCTACTCCACTATTTGAAGAGTCGATAATCAATTGCAATTAATTATTAAAACTGACGCGATTTCGATGACATAAGTAATGAAAAACAAGATAATGTATTATGTGGCAGAGAGCTCTTGAGACGATTTCATTTGATTTTTCACCTATGCTAATAAGTCAGATGTGAGTTTTGCCCATAAATCCTGTGAATACAATATAAGTGACTAAGTAACAATAACATGGGCTCGTTCACAGAATTTGTTTTGCTTCCTTTTTCAGCAACGACGGCGACAACAATGACAACAATAACCACCGTCACGATCACCACGACCACAACAACAACCACAACGACAACAACAACAACAACCGCAACGACAACAACAACAACAACCACAACGACAACAACAACAACAACCACAACGACAACAACAACAACAACCACAACGACAACAACAATAACAACAACGACTACAGCAACCACAACAACAGCCACAACAAGTACAACAACGACAACAACATCGACTACAGCAACCACAACAACAGTGACTACAGCAACCACAACAACAGCCACAACAAGTACAACAACGACAACAGGTAATATCTTTATCATGATATATTGAGTATTTCAATTTTTCGAAAGATTTTTGACGATAAAGTGGTCGCTCCAAAAGGTATAAATTAGTGTTGATACTTTTGAGTAATTCAACGAGAAGGATTAAATAAAGTGAAAAATAGTTTTTACTTCTTTTTGATGATCTATTTCATTCGCTGTATAAATTCAGAGATAACAAAAAAATAAAATCAAATATTTACGTATGATTTTCTGGTAAAACGATACATATCGTAAAATGAATGACAAATTTAGATTAATAGAATAGTGTGCTGAACGTAACATATCGGCTTGTTTGCAATGAAATTTTTTTAATTGAGTGTCGGTCAAATTTTATAAAACGGTATCAAAAAATTAACAGAAGAACAGATTCTACCTTATTATCTATTGTTACTGACCGAGAATGATGCTGAAAGTAATATGAATCAGAGACTCTAGCTGAGATTCCTTAATATAAATGTAATTTTTAATTAATATAAATTTAAAGTTACCACGACCACTGAGCGTCCAATCGTTGCCATAACACGAGCAGGTGATTCAATTATTGGCATATGTAATACAATAGCTGGTGGATCTACTGGTGGATCTGGTTATAATTACCCGTCTAATGAAAATTCACCGAACGCTATCGATAATGATATAAATACAAAATATCTCAATTTTGGAGATTCATCTACCGGTTGCTCTGGTTCAAGTCCTGGTGGAATTAATACTGGATTTTATGTTACACCTGCTATAAGTAATACATATGTTGCTGTCGGTCTTCTTTTTGCTACTGCAAACGATTTCTCTAATCGTGATCCAATAACAGTAACTCTTGAAGGAACAAATGAAACAAGTACTGCAGCTCTCGATTCTGGAGCAAGTTGGATATTGATATACAATGGTTCGACAGGTATTGATCCATCAATTGATCCTGGTCGTCAAACATACGTTTCTCAACAGAATTTCTCTAATACAATTGCCTTTCGTAGCTATCGACTTCTTGTAACTTCAAAACGTGGTACTGATTCTTCAGTCCAATATGCCGAAGCTCATATAATGGGATATATCTAAAACTCTTAAGCTTAGATATTAATGTTATTTATAAAAGAACTAAAAATCTTCTTCATGGACCTAAAAAATAAACATGTTAATTTTTCTTTTTTATTCTACGAAAAATATCAAAAGCAAGCAACAAATTGTAAATGTTTAAGTAAATTAAAAAGAAAATCAGTTCCAATTTGTAAATAATTTTATTGACCTAGTTTAATATTCAAACATTCATATAAAATAAATTTTTTCTTGAATACACATATTCGGTGCACAGCAAGGATTAATACCAAATTTATATGGAACACTATTCTGATCAACTTCACGACTATCAAATGATTCCAAATCATGATTATTATCGTTATTCAGCATTCAACAAAGAAACATCCGAGCTTTTGTATCCGTTGACTCTTTAACAGCCAGTGAGACCAACATGTCTCATTTTTTTGTGCTTAATTACACAGCTGTAATAAAGTAGAATAAATGACTCTAGTAGAAAGAACAATGGTACTACATAGATGAAATTCAACAGGAGGCTTTCAAGAAACTCATCGCTAATTCTCATTTTCAAAAGAGACATGGTATGTATCAAACAAACAGAAAGGTTGCACATATGGTTTGTTCCAAAATTTCAGTGATACTTACATTGTTCTTTCTGTAACAGTTCTCGATTTATGGCTAAAAAACTTTCAGGCACACCATCGTTGCATGCGATGGTAAATTCCTATTTCCAGGAAATTCAAATAAAGTAACTATACGAGAAATTTCATGGAAATTTAATCGAATGCTTTTAAGGATAATCATAGAAAACTCTTCTAATTAAAAAGAGAATATAGAAATGAAGTTGAAGTCTAAGTTAGGATTAGGTTGGTTGGGTTGGGTCATAAAGTAAAACCTATTATGGTATGAAATATGTATAGAACAGAGGTTTAAGTTTAAGTTAGGTTTGGGTTGGGTTGGATTGGATTGGGCCGGGTCGAGTTGGGTTGGATTGGGCCGGGTCGGGTTGGGTTGGGTTGGATCGGGTCGGATTGAGTTGAGTTGGGTTGGGTCGAGTCGGATTGGGTTCGATTGGGCCGGGTCGGATTGGGTTGGGTCGGGTTGGGTTGGATTGGGTTGAGTTAAGAAATTCGTTTTATAAAAAAGCATCGAAAACAGGGTGTGGGTGTGGATAAAGAATATACCTACACGTACACCCTTTCCGACCTGACCAAGCCAACTCTTGCTCAAAAGGTATAGTTTATAGACATGTTTAATATCAAAACATCTCTTCACCTTCGAAACCTGACCCAACACTAAATTGAATCATACATTATACATATGGGTGAATTGCAAAATTATTGTACCGTTGGGTGAAAAAAATAGGCAAAAAAGAATGGACAAAAAAAATGTTCGATTTGTATAACGGTGATTACTGCATTCTATGGTACTACATGAGAAGAGAATATGAATAAAATTTCCCGACTACTACTATCAAATTGTCCAAGACATAAGAGTTTTTGTAAAATTACTGTTTCAATTAAAGGTCATTTGACTTTCGCAGTACATGCCTCAGTTGAATTTGTCTACATGACTTTAATTTTTAACGTTGAGCTTTTTCTTTGTAATGCGAAAGTATGCTTCATCTAGAAGTAGCACCTGAAACACCATGGTTCGTCCTAAATTATATTTGGTTTTTTACACTTACAAAACTATAAAATTTGCAAATATGCAGTTAATTAGAGCATCTATATAATTAATGTCCGCGTCCGAATGAAAGGGGAGTGAGCGTAAGCGCAATATCTCGAAATTGGCAATAGTTAGCGACCTGTGGTTTTCACCAGTTGAAAGATGACGAGTCGAGATATCTTTTTTCCCGACCATGTAAAAGACGAAATCCTTTTAAAACTAATCATCTTCGAAAAACATGTAAAAGAATGCATGAAAATGACCTGCTATCTAAGTGAAATTTTAATTTTGGTCTTTGATATAGATAGAGGGACTTGAGATCTATAGTTCAAGATACGATACAAATCGTTCTCTTACTACATTCTAAGGTTGAACAAACGAAATCATTTATTTTAATGAACAAATCATAGGAAGTTTTGCTGGTTTTTTACTAAATTTTCACAATTTTTACCGTAATAGCTTGACATTTTGATGAAAACTTAATGAAAAGAAAGAAAGCGCATTTTATCTTAAACTATAGATCTCAAATTCCTCTATCTAAATCAAAAGTCAAAATCAAAATTTCAGTCAGATGGCAGGTCATTTTCATGCATTCTTTTCCATAGTTTTCGAAGATGATTAGTTTTAAAAGGATTTCATCTTATACATGATCAAGGAAAAAGATATTCCAACTTCTCCTCTGTCAACTGGTGAAAGCTGCAGATCATTAGCTATTGCCGTTATCGAGATATTGCGCTTAGATCCACCCCTCTTTCATTCTGGTGCGGACATTAGAGAATCCTACTCTAAAAAATTGCGAAGATTGAACACCACGAACTTGAGATTTTAAACTTTTACATATAAAAATACAACGATACAATAATTTTGCAATTCATCCATGTATATATAGATAGATATTCTTACTTGACTTGACTTGATCCAACCAGACCCAGCGCAACCCAACCGAACCCAACCCGACCCAACTCAACCTAACCCAACCAAACCTGACCCAACTCGACCCAACCCGACACAACCCAACCCAATCCAACCAGACCCAATCCGACCCGAAATTAAACCATATATTATGTATATATAAAAATGCCTGCCACGATTCGATAAAAATTTAAATAACAGATATGTTTTATATACACTTTTTTTATGAAGTAGTATCAGAACAGTTATATGTATAATAATACAAAATGTGCCTCTATATATGACAATTAGCACTGGACATTGTCACATTAATACTGTTCGTTGCAATCATTCTGCACTTTAGGTGTAGCCAATTTTGAATTTCCTGAAAAGCGGAATTAACCATGCCCTCAAACGTTGGAGAAAAACTGACGCTTGATGAAAAACTACCTTGCTAGTACATCAAATAGTTATGCGTATAATTTGAAACTTTATTTCAGGGAATCGATAGAAAAGAAAGATACCTTGAGGTGAGCATATTATCTATAGATTGATCAAAGGGCTATCAATAAAATTTCATGATGTTTATTTCGACAACTTTTTCACATATCCATTGATTGCTGAGCAATTTCTTGAAGATCGGATTCACTACATGTTTACTGTTAGAACCACCAGAAAAGTCATTTACATTTGATATTATCCATAACAGTAGCATGAACCGCGGTGACGTAAAAGTTTCGGTCAAATATTCCATATCAGTTGTCAAATAGATGGATCGAAAAGTAGTATTCATAGTGTCTGATTTTGCTGACCCAGTAGATTTAACGACAATGACTTGCAAATCGAAAAATAGCCAAGTAACTCAGCTAAGTTGCCTAGTAACAATTCAGAGCTATAGCTATGAAAGGATTACAGTTGATCATCTTGATAAACAATTTCGTGTTACAGTATTGATACAAAGTCAAGAAAACGTTGACTCCATATATTTATCCATGTTCTCAATGTGGGAATATCAAAGGCGCTTGTCATTCATCGCAGACATCATTCAAATGGCAATATAAGATGCTTGCAGCTTTTAGCTAGTATTGCTGAAGAATCAATTGATCGTGACGCTTCAGTGCAAAAGAAAAAAGGAAGAACTGCATCCAACTTCGGTGTCGAGAAGAGTGAAAGACACATCTTTATTATTAATGAAATTCGATTTTCCAATGTTAGCATTCATCTTTCACTATCTACCTGTCGAAGAACACGCACCTATTGCAGCACTCGACATAATGCACAACGATCGATAGTAGAATTTTTAACTTGCAAAGTGACTTTATGTGTCCCGATTGGAAGAGATAGCGTCTACTTATTCCACACTATGTAAAATTTGGGTGTGGGTGTGTGGCTGCGGGTGTGGCTATGAATAGGTGTGAGTAGGGATATGGATGTGGTGTGAATGGATGTAGATGTAGCGTTTGCTTGTGGATACTGGTGTAATAATCACTCCCATTCACGTTCAACACACCCGCACTCATACCCACCTACACCCTCTAAACACCACAAAACTCTAATGAAAATATTACCTTATTTCATTTACCTTCTAAAAGTGTCCAATCTCGTTGATATCATAGTAGTGACATGCATGTCGAAACTAAATCTTTCTTTTGGTTCAACACTCGTATGGTTATATTTAAAACCTAGTTCAAAACTATACCTGACTCTATCTTAAAAGTCTTGGAATATTTCTCTAAATAATTGACAACTACCAATCAGTATTGAAATTAGTGATAAAATACAATTTATTAATTTGCTTTGTTGACAATTTTCGAAAAACGATTTCTGGTGTCATCATTCCAATAAAGTGAGATCTAATCACTGGGTTTTCGATGAAATACGAATAATCACAATTTTACATTAGCATTTTTGAAAATGGCGCATTTCGCCACGATTTTCACGACATGGGCTATGATTTTAATTAATTTTTAATCAGATTCAAATCGGTTGTATTCTGATTTTTTAACACGGGTGGGTAGAATGTAAACTCTAGTAGTCTCATTTTCTCCTTGAATTGAAAAACCAATGTACAGAATGTTGTATGACTATTTCTTGTTTTATTCGGTTTATTGATGAATGAAACTATAGATTGAATCAGTTCATGACAACAACTTATAATGCTGTTGTGTATATATGAAAAATTCAATTATGTAGCATAACATGGGTTGTGTGAAAAAATGCAAAGAATAATAATTCATTTGCTACATCTTTCACTTTGTAATATGTCACTATAGTTATATTCTTTCGAACCTTCAATAATAAACCATTCGTCGAATTGTAGAGGTCATATTGTGAAGTTGTTTGCTCCTTATTTCAAGCCATGGTATCGAAACTGAGCGTCTGGGATACAGATATAATTTCACACCCGGAAAAGACGGAGGAAACGGAACAGATGTTGAAACCCGACAGAAACCGAGGATTTTACA